TCTGAGTTATGAATAACTATACTGAATAATCTCTTAAGAATTCTACTGATCTGAGATATTAAACAGTATCAGATACTTTATTCAAAACTGTAATTATTATTTCTCTATTATCTTATAAAAGAACTATAGAAAAGATCTATTAAAATTACTTAATATCTCTGATAGAGTCTGATAAAATATAATAACTAACTTTACTGTTAATCTCTCTAAGAGTAAGAATTGTAAGAACATTCTGATTATTATTAACTAATTAAGTAAAGATGTAATATTGAAATCTTATAATAAGATAGATATTAAATAAGTCACTGAAGTCTTTCTATAGAATCTATTCTATTAGATATATAAATTACTGAGATCTATAGTATTAAATTAAGACTGTCAATTCATGAGCACTCTTTGAACAAGAATCTGTTAAATTCTCAAGATTATATACTATTTGCTAACTGTTTATCACTCTGAGACTGATAATGAATCAGAGTGAATAATTCAGATAGTAAAGAATTATCTTTATAAGTTCTGTAATTATCTATAAGATGACTGATATAATCTTCTTTTACATATCAAAGTCATTATTAATAACTGAGATACTGTTTTAACAGGTATAAACTCATTCTTTTCTACATATAGATATTATATGAAAGTGTTAAATCTTCTAGAAATCACACAGTTCACACTGAACTCTCACAGTTTAATTGAGATCACTGATAATATAGTAATAAAGCTCTAAGATACTCATGACTGAGTAGAAGTCTTTATAATAAGTACTAAATAAGATTAAGAGAATTAAATTAATATTTATTAAGATCTTACTAAGTTATTATTATTATTATTATTATTATTCTTTCATTATACTTATATGCAAGCGGAGCTTATGATGAGTTCTTGCATGATGTTAAATACAGGTCAAGTGTTGATTATACAGGAGAAAATACAGGTGTTGAGACCACATCAAGATAACAAGAACATAGAAAATACAAAGAAGTGACAATTAGATACATGCGATAATAACTTCCCAGCCCAGGAACATAGAGCGATTTATTGAAGCGATTTGTACATCTCTGTATTTATTAGAAACCTGAGATGCTTGAGTTCCGGATTTAATGTATCTTCTGCGGGTTTCGAACTCACACGCCTTGGTTTCCCACATCAAGGCGCTACCGGGTGGCCGCATTAATCATTTAGCCACCGGGGCGATCTTACTAAGTAATATAAGATAGAAGATCTGATATAATTGAATCTTAAGAATATATAGATTATATACTTATCTTATACACTGAATTACTGTTATATCAAGTATAAAGTGATAGAGATTCTAGATAGTTATAACTACTATTTTAATATATTATCAGAGATTCATGATATATTTTATATAAGCTTATTTTATTATACTATCACTGACTCATTCTCTTCTCAACTGACTTTCAACTGACAGTTATCAGAAATTATAGAAGAAGATAATAAACTTGAGTAAGAGATTAAAAATATTCTTAATAAGAGATCTCACAGCTGCAGCTGATAATATCTTATAAAATAAGTTAGTTATAATCATCTAATCTGAACTCTGAGTTTTATATTATCTGAGACTGCAGCTCTTGACTGATAGAAACTATATATAATTAGAAAAGAAGAAGATTAATATAACAGACTGTGTCTGATCAATTATATAAACTATTTCACTATATTTCATAGATTCTGCTGAAAGCTCTGATTCTCAGTTATTTCTGATTATTCTTAATTATCAATTATCAGCTGAAAAATTCATGAAATTTCTATTCTTTCACTCTGAAGCTTCACTATGTACACTATCATGTATATGTATAAATATTCACTTTAATCACTGATTCTCATACTTTCTCTTTTCTTTTCTTCTTTAACATTTTTCACTTTATTATATAAGATCTATATATTATACTGATTTATTCAGTGTAGATATCTTATAATAAGTTATATAATAATATAGTAATAGTGTTAGAAAAATTAATACTATAAGAACTGAGAGTTAGAGTAAAAATATTATTTCACTTTAAGTGCTTAACAGCACTTAGTGTAGAAATTATATAAAAACTTATTAAGTTTTAATACATATTCTGATATAAATTAAATCTATCAATAAACAATTGATATAACAGAGAAATAACTTATATATCAGAGTAAAAGATGTTTTTCAAAAGATTTTATTATTATTATTATTCTTCAATTATAGATGTATACAGTCAGAGACTATAATATCTATCTAAGAACTTTTAGTTCTTAGAATTTTTTCTATATCTATAAAGTCAACTATTATACATTTATTAATTTCAGATATGTAAAATCAGAAAATTCCAGCTCTGAATATAAAAACTGTTTATAAATTACAGTATTTCATCACCTTCTGATACTTTGAAATTATTTAAAAATATGATAACAAAGGAAAAGAGAACATAGTTAGACTGATTGTGTGACTGTGTCTGAGATCAGAATCAGATTTTTTGATAGTCTCATTATCAATTTAACTGATTTCATTACACAGTTTTAACATTAGATAGTAGTTCTATACTATTTCAGTGAGACTTACTGTCTACTCTTGTCACATTTTTCAAATGAGATCATGATTTTCACTTCTTAATTTAAATTATTTTTATTGCTTTAAATGACTTTAAATCTTATTTGAGTATTACCAAAAAGCGTTACTTTTTAAAAAATTAAAAATAGTCTAAAAAAAACCTTAAAATGTCTAAAAATAGTAACTTTATATTAAAAATGAGACTAAATGAAATCAAATAAGATTACTTTCTCATTTTTTTCAAGTCATGGTTTTATTTTAAGATCTGATATATAGTCACTTTACATGTTTTTTTGATAGCCAGTCTCAGCAGAATTCACGCTAAGAAATGTATGAGATCAGATTAAATGAGATTAAACATGAAATTCATGATTTCAGCAGCCAGTCTAAACATAGTCTTAAAGCTAAATATATTAAATAGATAAAGAGAAAAGAGCAGAAAAGAACAAGTATAGTAAAAAGAGACTATAATAAAATAAAATTATTAAAAGATAGTATATAACTGTTTTAACAGACTATATCTAATTAATTTTCATCTCTTCATATTCAGATACTTCTGAATTCAGTTATTTTCTTATAGCTGCTTGAGTTTCTGATAAAAAGTCTATTAAGTATTTAATTCCTGTCTCAGTTAAGAATAAGAACCTTATATTTAATTAATTTAAATTATACTTCTTCTTCAATCTGACTCTGAGACTATTATATAATACATAATACATTATAAAATGCTCAGAATTTTCATTTGTATTGTAGAATAACTATTCTATTGAATTAAATCTATTATTAAATCTTTGTATATAGAATTTGAAATAATCATGTTCTAGTTTCAGCTGAATTATAGATAAGAATATTTTCTTTTTACATTTAATTAAACAAGATTTTCACTTTGATTTTATCTTAAATCTTGAATAATATATACTCTTCTTTTATTTCTATCAGCTTTTATTTCACTTATTTAGACAAGATTCTTTTATCTTTCTCTTTATAAAAAATCAGAATACTGTTTTTTAAATAGATCTGCTTAATTCTGAACTCTTTTTTACTGCTAAATCAGTTAATTCATTGTCATGAATATTCATATAAGCAGAAACTTAGTGTAGATGAATTATCAGTTTTAATACTTGTAAGAGATCTACACTGAATAGATTAGTATAATATATAGATCTTATATAACAAAGTGAAAAATGTTAAAGAAGAAAAAGAAAGAGAAAGTATAAGAATCAATAATCAGAATATATTTATACATATACACAGTATGTACAAAGTAAAGCTTTAGAACAGAAGAATAGAAATTCTGTGAGTTTTTTAACTGAGAATTAGTCATTGAGAATAACTGAGAATTAGAGCTTTCAGTGAAATCTATAAGATATAATGAAATAGTCTATATAATAATCAGACATAGTCTGTTATATTAGTCTTATTCTTTTCTAATTATATATAGTTTTCATCAGTCAAGAGCTGTAATCTTAGATAATACAGAACTCAGAGTTAAGATCAGATAATTATAACTAACTTATTTTATAAAATATTATCAGCTGTAGCTGTAAAGTCTCTTATCAAGAATATCTTTAATCTCTTATTTAAGTTTATTATCTTCTTCTATGATCTCTGACAGCTGTTAGTTAAAAATCAGTTAAGAAGAAAACAGATTAGTGATAGCACAGCAGAGTAAGCTTGTATAAAAGATATTATAAATCTTTAATAATATATTAAGACAGTAGTTATAACTATCTAGAACTTCTATCACTTTATACTTAATATAATGATAATTCAGTGTATAAAATGAATGTGTAGTCTGTATATTCTTAAGATTTAATTATATCAAGCCTTCTATCTTATATTACTTAATGAAATCTCAGTGAATATTGATTTGATTCTTTTAATCTTGTTTCATAATTGTCATGAAGGTCTCTACTCAGTTACAGACATCTCAGAGCTTCATTACTATATTATCAGTGATCTGAATTGAACTGCAGAGTGTGAAATGTATGATTTCTAGAAGATTTAATACTTTCATGTGATAACTGTGTGTAAGAAAGAACAGGCTTACATCTGTTGAGATAGCATCTTGACTATTAATAGCAATCTCTGCATGTAGAAGAAGGTCATGTTAATTGTCTTATAAGAAATTATAGAACTTATAAAGATAATTAACCCAGACCTAAACAGAGAGATCCGCCGTTCAGTGAAAGAGATCCGCCAGGAGGGGGTGGAACACAACAACATTCACAAGCTGAACATCTTGTGGAACCGCGAGCGGCAGCGGGCGATGCTGGTCGACCTTGAGTGCTCTCACCTCCTGGCCCTCAATCTCAGGCCACCACTCCAAGGCCTCTCCCCAAACAAGAAGCGACAGCAGTCTTTTGGAGACGGCAAGATTCACAGGCAAAGATGGCATCAATGAAAGGCAAACTTCAAAGAGGTTGATGTGTTATCATGCTAGTTTTCCTGCTTATTTTACCCTCCAAGACCGGAGAAACAGGCATACGCACCATTTTTTTCTTCTATCATCCTTTTCTTCCTCATTTCCCCGTCCCTCTGATTTATGTGTGCATGGGCTCCCATCAACGCGATTTATATGCAACCTTCACTTCAACCCAGATATATTCACTAGACTGGGCGTACATCTTCCTAGGCTGTTTCATTAGACACTTTTCATCCTCTACAAGTCAGAGTCATATCTTCCCAGAATGATTCCAATTCAGAACCCACCATGCCACCAACATCTCCATATTTTCTCATCTTGACGAATATCAGAGCAGCTATGCGATTTTTTACACAAATTACAGCTTTCTGAAAGTGGCGCGTCTGAATAGCCGGATTTTTGAGGATGCAACTGATATCCTCTACCAAAAACTCATCTGCAATATCTTCCTGTCTGGCAAGAATGTGTACATCTTGGGAAGAAAATGCCACTCAATTCAAACTGGTTCCTGGCAAAGGTTTAAACAATTTACTGTTAAACTGGATATATCTGTTGATAATTCGGGATGACATGGGCTCATCCTTGAAAATATTCAGCTGGTTGCATCACATCTTCGTGGTTCCAACCTCATCAAACTCCATTTTTGTCTCAATTCGTTGTGATTTTGGTGCAAGCGCCCCGGAAGTATTGAACTTATCCGCAACTTCTTACCCTTGTACTTAGATGCTTTTCAGTAGTTGGGGAGGGTGAGGGAGCTTAGTATCGCGTTGGCCCCGAAGATTCTAGGCAGATTGAATGAAAGTGAATTGTGGATGGAAGATATGTCAAATGACACTGAAGCCATGACCATGGTAATAAAATGGAGAAGATATTATGAAGAATGGACTGAGAACTTGAAACCCTAGTGTCTTGAGGAAGGGGCAGGAAAATGCTTTGGACCTTTAATTCTGGAAAATCAAACCATCTTTTAATCCTTTGTTCATGGCCGTCATGAGACGAGGACATTAGTTAGTCCTGAGCCTACGCCTATACAGTTCCTTATTATATACGAAGTTGGATTTTAACAGACTCAAGAGATGTCCTTCGCGAACTAGCAACAAATCAGTGAACTGATTGCACACGCAGTCATTCCCAATATCTTTGACATCTTTGTTGTGTCTATTTTTTTGGTGTATCTTTCCGGGTTTCCTCTATCAAGTTGAGAGCATTTCTTTTAAAGAAACCCCCCAGACCAAGTTATTTACTTCATCATTCACAGGTTCTTAGTCACCGATAGTACTGCCGCGTTTTATCAAGTTCACCCTTGTTAAAGTCATGTTCCTGTGATTATAAAACCCAAAATGGTTAGTTTAAAGTCAGCATGATGGTAAGGAAACAAACCATAAAATCAGCCATCTCAGCCATAATCTCGTTCTCAGATGCAATCAATTCTTTTTGCCTTTCTGTAAGCTCTCCATTAAAAGTCTGCGCCCGATCAAAATCTATCCAGATTGCCCTTCCTGGATCCCCCTCCACCACCATCATATTCCTGGGGTGAACGTCATTGTGAAAGACTAGCGCATTATGGATGGCATCCAGCCCATTAACGAAATTCCGCATCCTTCTTCGATTATACTCGGTCCAATCCAGCTCCTTCATGTTGGGAATGTACTCTAAGAGAATGGCCGTGGGTCGATATTCGTCCTTGAGAAATGCCTTAAGATGGGGTAGGCATTGTCTCGGATCAATATCTTCAATCGTCCCATGAAACCGAGGAGTTATACCCTGGGCACAGACTCCAGCGTGTGTCAAGCGTCGATATGCGGTTGATTCACAGATAAATAGACTCGTTTCACGGCTCTCTGGGTCCCACGGCTGTTTAGGCCCTTGACCATGGTGCTGTAGAAAGTGTTAGAGAATGCATCTACAGGAGAGTCACCCGTTGAGTCCAACCCACCACTTTCATAACACAGTCCACGCCTCTGATTACCACCAAGAAAACAACACAATAGTCCCGTTTTGCAAGCCGCTTCTGGAAGATGATCTCCGTTAAATCAATATCTGTAAGCTTCATTGCGGATTCTCGAAATTGACCAAAAGCAAGTCCAAATGAATCAAGGAGCGACAGTGCTGTGAACTGACGGAGGACAGGGGAACATAAATGATTGCTCGAGACAATTGTCACGGCGCAGACAGCACGTGATATACTGGCAGAGGAAAGTGTTGGGGGTCCCGCGGTTGGTCGGCCCTTCTACCAGCAGGCGCTGGTGGTGATTGAGCTCTTTTGCCCCAGTAGCCTGGCAGAGGAAAGAGAGTGATTGGTGTCCACTCGAGTCAGCCTTGTTGACCGAGCGACCCTGCCGTTGCATGCCAAGAGATTGGCCTAGACACCAAGACCGAGCAACAAAGCAACTCCGTCCACAATAGACTTTTGGTTGAACCTGCACCCACCATGCTCATTTATCTCATTCTACATATCCCATTTTGTGCACTAGCAAGATAAGTTATGTCAGTGGAAATTTGACCAAAGCTGGGAGGTCTCACAGCAGCGTGGCAGTGGACCTAATAGAGCCCCCGGAGATGTGAAGCCAAGCTGGAAATGGAGCACGGCGCTGGAAACGGGTACAGACTATGATCGAAAAGAATTCCGTCAAGGTCTCAGCCAAGTGAACCACTATATGAAGCAACACGGATCTCGGTATGGCTTTGTCCTTACAGACCATGAACTGGTCGCTGTCCGAAGGCTGGATGGCAATGGCAATCTGGAGCTCTCGGCGCCAATATACCCTGGGAGAATCACGGGACGGCAGCTCAACCACGTCTCACGATTATGCTGGCTTTATGGTATCTCGGCATGCTTGCTGCAAAGGATGTAGGTCAGGATCGTTGGAATCTGCCATGAATGTTCAAGGTGCCAGGCGGTTCCCGAAGGATGGGAGGATATGCTCTAGTTGATTTGAATATTGTTACAATGAAAGGTTTACTCCAAGTTCTTTTTAGTCCTGAAATGACACCTGCATTAATCAAAGAAATCTAATTACGTGCCAATCCACTCCATCCACAACTCACTCAAGACATCAAGAGATTATACTACAGATCCATCAATCTGACACTAAAACAAAAATGAGTCGAGCAGCTTAAATAGGAAAATTACATATCAATTATTTTTAGTCTTCCAGCTGGAACTGCACTTTCCGAGTAGCATCGCATACACTGGCTCCAATCAAGAACCCAGCATCAAACTCTATGATCTGTGTTGGCTTGGGATAAGTGGGTGCCCTGCCATCCAGGAATGAAATAAATTCCTTACACCATGCAACATGAACCACCCCGAGAAACCACCAAGTGGTAGATCACTGACTCCCAAGAGCGACAGTGAAGATAACGGCGCTCCAAGTTCAAGATGCCGCGGCAACCACCTCCATGGGAGAATGCACGAAGGCAAGTGATCACCGGTATTAATTTAGAACTGGAGGCACCACATGATGCGCAGCTCACCCTGTGGATGGAACTGTGAAATCGAGTGGTGCATACCGCGCTCGCGACTTCCAGCCCGGCTCCAAACTTCGCAGCTCTGCCCAATGAGCGGAGTTTTGGTGACAGGATTGACACATGGCTGCTAAGGGGTCATGTTAAATGTGGCATGGTTGAAAGGAGGTGGCCTGTGCACCAATTCTTCGCGGATGAATCATTTGCTGCTGTGTTGCAAGCGAACTTCTGCATGCCTATCGAGCTAATTCGCTGACAACCGCTAGGACCCAAGCTAGGCCGCAGAAGGGGGTGGTGTTATGTCGCAAGGCGAACTTCGCCGGCCGCTGTTGCCTACCGAGATTGGAACAATAGGCATCACTTCATGGTGAGAGCGGGTTTCCCGTGCTTCGCTCCCAGATGGGAAGAAACTTCGGCTGCATTGTGAGGGGCGAGAGAATGAATCCTACCAAAGTCGGGGTAGACGACTGTTCCGCAAATCCAGCGTCGTCGAAATGCAGCGGAAGCAGGAATTGGGGAAACAGGTGGGCTGTATCATGCAGACTCGAACCTGGGCACATGCTTGGTAAGTCCATATGGTTGAACCACGAATGTCACTCGACATCACGTGGCTTGGCTCTTCTTTGGTGGGGACTCGTTCAATCACAGGTTCTTCGCGTGCTTCAAAATGGAGACCAGACCAAATGAGTAATATAAAGTATATAGTTACACTAAACTTTCGATGACAATTGCGTCGCACACTTAGATCAATCTCTTTGAGATAACTGCTTCTATTTTATTTCGATTTAATAGAACATCATCATTCTGCAGAGCTTGGTAATGACTGTCAACGCTTCCGCATTGTGGAATAAATACGCCGCAGCAGTGAGGACCATGGGCTTGCCAGGCTAGTTTGGTGTTTTCACGCGTCCTAGAAGGAGAAACATGCTCTCAAAACTCAATGGAGTATTCTTCAAATGTACACGTTGTGAACTTGAAGAGCGTGTCCCTGAAAGTCCTGCACGCCATCTAGAAGCTCTAAGCACGATGGGTGAGGGCACCACAGAGGAGCGGTGGCGTCCAGATAACGGAAGTGGCAATCTTGAACGTGTCTTCGGAGATGATCGGGACGTAAAAAGGAATAGATGCGCCCAGAAAGCGGAAGCTGGTCATCTCCAAGGCAGAAGAGACATTGAGTACCAGGGCACAGGGCGGGAAAGGTATCCGCGTCGATGATCTCATCGAATGCAAGATCGATTCCAGAGTCTGCAGATGCAGCTCTTCGCTTGCGTGGTCCTTCGCGTAAGCTGCAGAGTGAAACCCAGTCTTGAATGGTCTGCACTCGGCGGGCATAGATCTCCGTATGGTCTTCTACCCTACAATCCGAGGATCGAAATAGGTTCTGTGAGAGCCGTTTTCGTTCTTTGAAAACAAATTGCACATTCTTTGGGTCCTCGACCTGGAGCTCGTTGCTGAAAGACAGCCCCAAAAGCTGCCTCTCAATCTCAATCGTGTCGATCGTTGCAAAAAAATCCTCTCTCAAGCGGTCGAATGCTTCGCGGTGGAGATATTGTCGCTTGTCCTTGATCTCCTCCCCAAGCTCGGTGTATTGGCGATGCAGGTCACTGCTCCTGGCTTTTGAAACTGATCCATATTTTCTCTCCATCAGCTTCTTTAGCGAAAGATGTCGATTACGCAATTTGATCAGTTGTGGATCCTGCTCTATCGCTTCCTTGTGCTCACTCCCTAGCTCCTTTGGAGCACGGGGATCACGGGTTAGGCTGAAGCGTCCAACTGTGCGGATGATGGACTCTTTGGGAGGGCAGCCAAGATAGGCGGACTGCACATCCCGCTTGACTTTCATTGAGATATAGTAGCGTTCGAAGATATCTGCTCGGGAGTGGCCCATGATTTGGTTACGTTCACTCGGAGTTGCAACAGCTGAAGCACGTGAGAAAATCAGTATGTCGCGGTGGAACGGTGCAGATGGCATCGATAAGACTCACTATCAACTGCATTCGCAGTTCCTCGCCTGATGCAATATGGCGTCAGCTTATTCTCAAACCCCGCATTGCGTCCTAGCCGTTGAAGATACTGGGGTTTAATATGTCGTACGGTAGGGCTTTATCTGGGGAGATTCGAACCCCCTCCGCTGTGTGTATGGCTCGGCGAAATACCGGAACATCAAGCATGTCAGCCTTCCACTTCAGGTGTAGACTATTCCGGTGTGCTGGCACTCGAACACGGAGTATATCTTCGACTGAGACAATGCCTCTCGCTTCAAATGCATCGTCGGCTAGTGCCAGGGCAATGAAGTGAGAGACAGGGCAAAGTGCGAGGTTATCGTCTCGCTCATGGAAAATATATGTTGTCCTTTCAAATTGCTTTTAGTTTTCCGGAAGGTAAGATACTTGCGGTGGGGTGGGGGGCTCACGGTTGTGATTTGCCTCGCTTCCCTTTCATAAATAGTAGGGAAACTTCCATCACGAGCAAATGGCGTTCTGGTTGATCTGGGTTTGGAACCACACGCAGCGCGATGTCCTTGTAGCAGAGCGCCTCATTGGACCCACGGAGACAACCACTCTCGATCAGTGCTCCAGGCCGTGCCGAGGTGTAGGCAATGAATAACATCAGTAGCGCATTCTGTAGGGTGTATCGCTCATGCGTGACAGAGGCAGTATCAACACACCAGTGGTAGTGAAGGATGGCAATTAGGTCCTCCACGCTCACTACCGGTTTATAGCTGGTTGATAGGTCCAAATCATACTCATCAGTCAGAGGTCCTAAGATGAACTGCGAAAACAGAGATTAGAATGGGAAGAGACTGTCCATCGGTGTGGACTCTACCTCGCTAACCTGCTCGCCAATCAATTCATCCACCTTCCGTCCTGTCTCCCTCTTGACGAGCAGTCGAAGGAATTTCCATTCAACCCAGATAGTGCTTTGTTTTGTGATATTGAAGTTCTTCAATCGCCAGTCAGCATAGACCCGGAAGTGCTCGGCGACATTTTCAGCGAGGTGGCCATAGGTCTCAACGCCCATGAATGTACAGTGACTGCTTAGGCATAATTAGCAGGTGATGCATATGGATACGGCGAGGTGAGGGGACCGACCGATACCAGAAACGCTCGACACGATCTATGGAAGCAGTAGTGGCATCAGCATATTTCTTGCCTGTGACCTGGAACCTGGCCACTCTGAGAGTATCCCGCGCGCGGTACTGATCTGGAGTGAGCTCACTCATCGCTGAGCTTCTCCTGGCAACGTCGACTCTCCCTCGAATATTTCGAGGGCTTCAAAGATTTAGACCATCGGGAGAACATTCTGTAGGTGTATTGGAGAAAGAAGGCGACTCAAACAAGAGGCGCTGCTGCTAGAAAGGATTTGAGATGGGTATAAGATAACCGCTGCTTGAAGCATGGAAGGGGAATGCAAAGAAAGAAAATGCTCAAAGCAGCGGAAGACAGCAAATTTATACATCTTGAGAGACGGAGCACTAGCCATCCTATTGTATATATGGGCGGAATAGGGAGATACAACATCGCGATAACCACAGCTGGCGTTGTGAGGGCTCTAGAAGCAAAAGCAGCGAGGTTTCTGGGTCACGTGTAGTTAGTGTTGCGGGCTTAAAACAGCGTTGGAAATAAGCCGCTCTGACTGGCTGCAACCCCAACTTACAGACTATAGAGGTTACGCTGTAGGAAGGGGGATGAGCAGCAAATTAATTCGAAAAGTTGTTGATGAGTGGATAAAAATAGAAAGAGGGGAAAGGTTTGCTTGCCTGATTCGGGCAATTATTAATTAATTAATTAATTAATTAATTATATAAGTTAACTAAATAACGCTGAAAAAGGGGGCGGCCAAACCTCCATTTTGTGGAACGACCTACGCAGTAAGCTGCCATCAAGAGAACCTCCGTATATGGTATATGCCAAGTAGTTACCAGTAACTAACTAACTACCTTGTCAGTTAACAGCGGATCTATTATGCTGAATAATATAAGAGCGCAAAAGGTATGTATGGTATGTACGGAGTACTTCTACAGGCCTGAGTCCTGACAAGGTACATACACATTCACACATACACATACATGCTTCATGCACAGGTAGGTACAGTAATCTATCTATCTGTACATGCGGTCCACGGTGGCATAGCATACCTACCGCATAACTACCCGTGCCAAACTTCGCCCCAGACGGAGGCAACGGACTCGGCGGAAGTGCGCATGAACTACTACTGCGTACGTACAGAAGACTCAGGGTTGGACAATTATAGTTAGTAACTATTAGTTAGTTATTAGTTAGGTATGTTTTTTCTTCACCCTCTAACCCCCCGTCAGAATCTGTAGTTTTGCTGCAGGCCTCTTCTTCTGCGACCGTCAGCAGGCCTGTCCTGTTACTTTGTATGTACAGTAAGTACTGTACATTTACTTAGAAAGAGAAAGGTGCGTTGAGTGTGATTCTGGTTCTTGTTTCGTTGTTGTGTACAGCGTATGTTCCAAGGTTTTTCGTAGTAGTTAGTAGTTATTCATTCTTGTTGTCCAACAGACGGTGTCAAACAATCGACTTCACACCCGGCATAAATCGTAGGCCCGCCAGATGAAGGGATCTCTTCACAAGTCAAGTCAGAAGTCATCTTTCTCGTCGAGGACATCGATAACAAAGCATCGATCGTGGGAGATCCAACCCTGGTCTGCTGTTCCCATAACTTTAACAACTATTTCAGTTATAGTTAACTACTCTATAACTAGTTACTTAACTAAATATCCAACATTACGCTGCTTATCCTCAATAAATAATGAAACACAATGTTCCAACTCCGAAAATAGCAGCAAATTGCTCCCAAAGGAGGGGGGGGGGGAAGCGGGAGAAAAGAAAGAAAGCAAAGAGAAAAAAATAAAAAATAAAAGAAAAGTTTCCCACCGCGAAAAGATCACCAAACCCAATAACCTGACAACACAAACCTCTTTTTCCTTTTTTTCCTGCTCTTCTTCTTTTGGGGCGCGTAACCGAGCCCCTTCTACGGACTTCCATTCGCTCGTCTTCTGGATGCAAAAGTGCCAGCCCTTTCGCACCAAGAAGTGACAGAAACACTGCTCCCGCCAATGGAAATGTCCCGTCCGGCGCTCGAATGTGATGTCTCTGCAGACGCCCGCATCCCTGTCGCCGAACCACCACCCTTAGGTGAAAGATGAGCAAAAGAGAGAGAGGGTTGAGCCAGTCGGCGGCGAGCATCTTGAGTTGTAGGAGCGTGGTGATTGGAGCATTCTCGCTGTCGGTCGATGCGGGTCGGTCTCCCCCCTCGCGGCCGCTAAAAATCCCGCTAAATCCTCAATTTTCGCAAGGATAATTCTATTTCTTAACCTTCTTCCCCCCCTCCCCCAATTTTCCCCCCCAATTTCCCCTTCGGAATCAGCGCCATCACATCCCTCAACGCCCGTGTTGCAACTGGCAAGTGGGCTGGCTGGGGGGGGGGGGGGGGGCCGGCCGTCCCCTTCCTGTCGTCCAGATAATGCACCTAAATTGTTTTAACCTGCGCCGGCTAGAGGTACCTCCAGCCTGTAGGAGTCGAGAGTGACTTTCTTCACAGTGATGCACCCGGTAACTAGTTACACTAGTTACAAATGTATGTCGGGTGGTGAGGTCACTCCGTCAACTCGCTTCCCGCCATGCTT